ATCCTAGCATTGAGGGATATTGCAGAGGACTGTGATCCTAGCACTGATGGATGCTGTACAGGACTGTGATTCCTAACACTGGGCAGAGGCTGAGGCAGTAGGAGCTGCATAGTGAGGAGCTCTCTTAAAACATTCTAAAGAAACAGAGGAGGGTGTAGCTCAGTGTAAGACCTTGAATTAATCCTTAGAACTACAAAATAAATCAAATCGGCAACCACTTCCCCTCAGTTCCCAAATATGCTGACAGTTAGGACCTTTGCTTTCCCTGGGTGCAGATAATCTGATTGCTTCTGCTTTAATAGTACAAATGTAAGGAATCACTAGATTTAAAAAAAAAATTTTAAGTTACTTGGCTAAAGCAGCAGTGCATTCTCTTTGAGAGACTGCAGCATGTATTCTGCTGCTGATTAGCAGTAGTGTGTTTATAGACTACCTTTTACTTAAGAAATAATCCCCTAATGATTGAATCTGATCACTGAGTGAGTAAATATCCCAGATACCATTCACTCCAGAGGAGTCATTTTAAAATTAAACTCATTTATTTCTGCATTAGTTTTAGATATTATTTCTTTTCATTCTCTTTCCCATTTAAAGGTGAGCCGTTCATCTTTGCTGATAGAACAACCTGTGAAAAAGAGGCCTCTTTTGGATAATCAGGTGGCAAATTCCATGTGTGTTCAGCCAGAGCTACAGAATAACACAAAGCATGCAGATAACTCATCTGATACAGAGATGGAAGACATGATTGCTGAAGGTCTGTGGTCTTAGGCTTTTACTGCTTGAAATGGGGTGTGGCTTTTTAGTCTGCATAGATTTTCACTTGGAAACAATTCAATTTTACGTACATACAGTGAATATGTAAACTATTTGACTAGAAAACAGGCAAGCTAACCAGTCTTTAGTTATTTATAACTAAATAACTAAAAGAGCAACAATAGTGGTGCTGATTTGTACAATGTTAGTTTGATTTCTAGGTGGGACAAGTTCTATCATACATGAGAGAAAGTAATTTAAATTTTTTTTAATCAGGACAACCAATTCTTGCTTTTAAAAAGCAGACCTAAGTAACAAATGATGATTTAAATGAATTTGCTTAAAAATATATGGCATCCAGGTGTTTGGTTTTAGACTTGTCCTTATTTTGACCAGCCGGATATTACAGTTACACTAAGGTCCTTCTCTTCAATCAATAGATGATAATATCTGTCCTAGGAGAAAAATACTGTTAATCTCTTTACTGTCAAAGACTCCTTCTCAACTGACTATATTCTAATACTGAATATTTCTTACAACTCAAAGTAATAAAATGGCTGAAGGAAAGCAAACATAGGAAAATGCAAAAGTGATGTTCTATGCCTTGAGTTTCCTATTTAGAGTCAGCAACAGCTTGTACTGTTTTTTTGCTTTGTTTTGTTTTACTTTTTAATGAGGTTCTGAATGTGTGGTTACAAAAATAACCAATAAAACAAAATTAGCTGTATTGTATAGGAAGATCTTCAAGAGAAATTGTTCTTGATCGTTTTGATCATGGCCCTATGGTTGATGTTGTTCAGTTTGATGTATTTAGCTAGGGCTTAAAATAGGGAACTCATTAACATCTTTGTCTTAGTAATTATCCTTATTATGTCTAAAATTAATTTATTCTTTTGCAAATATTTGTTGAGTTTATATTTCTATATTGTCTGTCTATTACATTGTTGAATTTAGCAGAATGTCATGTCGGTAAGTAAGTGCCTGCATCCCTTCTGCCTCTTAAAGGATGGCACCTGTCATCGTTGGTATTTTATAAACTCTTGCAAAGTATTCATCATTTTTACTTCTTATTTGAACAGCCAAGTCTATAATAGAGTGTATCATTTGACCTTTACTAACTTTTGGTCATTAGAGTCTAGTTTGATTCTTTCTCATGTAAAAGACTGTTAACCATGAAATGTTCCAAACACACATTTAGTTAGAGAAATGTATGCTGCCCCCTCATCATCAGGCTCCCTATTGCGCACAGTCTCAGCTGCTCTGCCACATTTACTTCATGCATTTTTTCTTTCTTCTCTCCCAAACTTCCCTTTGCTGCCTTTCTTTCTACTCCTCCTCTGTCCTTTCCTCCTCCTTTTCCTTTCTGAAAATTGTAGTTATTTTATTTCACTGATACAGTGTGTATGTCTTGAAAACAGGTATTTTTTATATAACTAAATAGCAAAATTAATAATTCTCTGGTGTAATACCTGATTCAAAGTCATATTTTCTCAGTTATCAGAATTATATTCTTTTACAGGTATTTGATTAAAATCAGGATCAAAACAAGGTCACCATGCTGGCTTTTATTGTTAGAATTTAATTTCATTTAATTTTCAAATACAAGTTTTTAGTTTTACATGTGATTATATGAGCGGATTTTTTTTTTGGGGGGGGGGAGGTTTCAGATAGGGTTTTTCAGTGTAGCTTTGGCTGTCCTGTAGACCAGACTGGCCTTGAACTCACAGAGATCCACTTGCTTCTGCCTGGCAAGTGCTGGGATTAAGGTGTATGCCACCACACCCTGCTTGACATTTCTTATTTGAGATGAAAAGTAGTAAAGATTAATGTTCAGGTATTCTTTTTTCTTGCTCTTATCTATAAGAAGTGTGTGAATGAAGGTTCTATGCTAAAATGTGTTCATCATGTCACCCTGGTTAACACACAGGAGGATCATGGAAATTTGGGAAGTTTTATTACATATTTCATGATACTTGTGGTTTATAAATATAATGGACAATATATGTATAGCATTGTTAGTGTGCTGGCATATGAAGGGTATGCACAAAGGAAGTAAAATGGTGAAGTTATTTCTTAGTGGCTTTTGGTTTTTTTGTATATAATTTTAGTATAAAAACATCCATTTTTAAGATAGGCAAGCTTTTAAAATTCAAGGTATGTATAAATATCTTTTTAAAGGATTATCTAAGTTTCCTTCTCAATTACTGTGATAAAACACTGACCAAAACCAGCTTGGCAAGGGAAGGTTTATTTGCCTTACAGGTTATCAGTCCATCATCAAGGGAAATTCCAAACTGGGAACTCAAGGAAGAAACCTGGAGGCAGGAACTAAAGCAGAGGCCATGAAGGAACACTGCTTACTGACTTGCTCTCACATGGCTTGCTCAGCCTGCTTTCTTGTAGAGAACCCAGGACCAGGGGTTGGCGCTGCCCAGTCCTGGGCCCTTTCTTTTCTGTCTTTAATTTAAAAACCACCCCACAGACATGTCCACAGGCCAATTTGATGGAGGCAATACTTTGAGTTCCTTCTTCCCAAATGACTATAGTTTCTGTCAAGTTGACAAAAACAAAAACAACAACAAACCAAAACAGTACAGTAGTTGACCCCTTCGTAACTTCACACAAACACTTACTAAACTGTAACCTTTTCTTTTTTGTTCATTCCCAAGATCCTGTGTTAATATCACAATCTAAAACATAGTCTTTAAACTCTTACATCTTTAAACTTTTCAACACTTTAAAAATCCAAAGTCTCAACTGAGGGTGCCAATAAAATTTAAAGTGAGTTATATTCTTTCTTATTCTAAAAAGAAAGAACCAGGGCATAGTAATAGTCAGATCAAAGCAAAACCAAACTCCAACAGTGTTAATAGCTCAGTGTCTGATGCCTGGGACTTACTTAAGATCTTCTAGGATTCAGAGGGCTTGGGTAGCTCCACCCCTCAATTTTGTGTCATGCTGTCAAGAACTAACCAGTGCAAGGATCAACTCTTGTTTTATTTGGACTGGTTCTGGAATCAGAAGTTCCCAACAATCGCTTGTGATTTAAAAAATTAGCATATTATCTTACATTGATCATGGTTTCCAAGTAATTTCCCCTCTTTGCTGCTGATCCTCTTGTGAGTTTCAGTCTGTAGGAAAATTACAAAACAAAATAACAACAACAACAAAAAAATGCCTTACCCAAAGAAACTGGGGGTTTGCATGTGTTATGCAGGTTTGGCCACATTTAGAGATTCAGTATACTTTTCAATAAGTAAGATGGGAGATTTGATTTCTCTGGCACAGTCTACAAGTCCTGGTGATGGTAGGCATCCTAGCTCTGTGCTTTCTGTCAGTGTCATCTTACATCCAGTGCGGCCCGTCCTTACAGCGATGGTCACATTGTGGAGATGGGAGAAGGTGTTGTCTGCATTTGCCAGCATTTCTACTCACATATCGCAGGGGTCAGAAGTCAGTTACACCTAGGCAGAAAGAAGTTTTTACCCTGGGTGGCCATGCTCCTAGGATTTGTCTCTGAGAGAGAGTGAAGAATGACCAGGTGTCTGTAGATAGACGCCCCTTGTTAGCTAAAGCAAGAGGGGTTTATCCTAAATTTATTTGGCTTTCCATGATTTTACTCAAAATGTTAAAAATCTAGCCACACATTAGGATAGGAATTATTCTCTACCAGTATTGGGGTTTAAGCCTGGAACTTACATGTGCTAGGCAAGTAACCAACAACTTAGTTATATCCTAGTCTTTTTGTATTTTTATTTGAGATAAGGTATCATGAAATTGCTCAGGTAGGTCTTGACTTGATATCCTCCTGCCTCAGCTTCCCAAGTAGCTGGGGTTAAAAGCCTGCACCACCAGCCCAGGCTAGAATAGACATTTCCACGTGTTAACTTCTCTATGCAGAATAAAATGGTGTTCTACTTTATGGGTATGCTGCTCTTAACCAGTATTTGTTTGACTACTTCCCTTTCTCAAGAGCAACAGTAATATGTTATCAGGTATTTTACACAGCTGTGTTAATAAGTTTAAAGTCTCTGAAGCAAAGCTTTGAGCAACTCGCAGAATGGCTCTTGGTAGTTGTCAGTCTAGTGACTGAGTGAGTTCTGTCTATGACCTAGGCTTTCCAAGATCAGTTTAGGTACAAATAATACTCCTGGAGTAAGAACATCCAATTCCAAGGATGTAGGTGAAAATTAGGACTGGCTCACAACTTTGTTGAAGCTGTCTCTAGGTTTTTGGAAGGGACAATTTTTCAATTTTTCTTTTCTTTCTTTTTTTTTTTTTGAAACTACATTTAAATTTGTTTGAGAATTTCATACATGTATATAATGCATTTTGATTAAATGCACTCTGTGCTGTCGCTTTCAGCTTTTCCAGACAGTTTCCCCATCATTTCTTTCTCTCAACTTTGTGCATTTTTGTTTTTGTTTGTTTTTTTTCCCACTGAGTTCAATTAGTGCTACCAGTGTGTGCATGGGTTTGGGCTGTCCATTGGAGAATGGCATCCTACCAGATACCACCTACCTGAGGTGAAATGACTCTCCTTCCCCAGGAACTATCTGCTGGCAATAACTCCACAGCTGGGACCTTGTGAAAGAGGCAATTTTTTATTTTACTTTGAGACGATTGTATCCACATTGTAACTAAATCAATGACCTTTGCATACATACCATGGTAGTTGAGTATACATACCTGCAAACATGCCGAGGTAGAAAGTTTTCTTTAAATGGCCATCATGGGCTGAAGATGTAGAGCATTTGCCTAGGACATGAGAAGCCCTAAGTTTGTACCATATACAAAACACAAACCAGCACAGCCACTTACTGGCTTGTGATTTCATTAGTAAACACTTGGAGCCCTATCAGGGCCAGCTATTACTCACAGTGTTTTTCTTTTTTTCATTTCTTTTTTATAATTTATTCACTTTATATCCCAATTGTAGCCCCCTCCCTGGTCTCCTCCAGGTCCCACCCTCCCACTCTTGTTGGTATAATGTTCTTTTGATATGTATACACTTTACTCTTGTTCATTCAAATGCTGATTTCTCTCACCCACTCTCTGGTTTCAATCCGGAGGCTGCATTGTGATACTTATTCTAAGCATCACCTTGTCTCAACTTTGTGTAAACATGCCAAAATAAAGCAACCAGCCACAATGTTGAGCAAGGGAAAGGAAGCAGGAAGAGAGGGAGGAGCCAGAGGACAGGAAGGTGGGAAAGGAGGAGAGAAGACGAAAGCTGGGAGAACAGAGGCAGGAGCAGAGATCTTGGAATGACGTGGAGAGATGAATTGGACCTAATATTTCACTAAAAGAAAGTATAATGTGGGAAATCTAAATGTTAGGAAACTGTGAGGGCTTGGAGATTTAGGGTGGAACAACTCTTGCCCAGCATTGTGTTCTAGGTTAATTTAATAAATCCCAGTGTCTGTGTGGTGATTAGGGCATTAATTTAGGATTAACAGCCGCTTTACCAAAAGATATATCAAAGCGTACTACAACACACTCTGTTCCCCCCTATTCCCCTTCCCTCTTTCTCAGAAATGGGGAGCCCTCCTCTCCTACCATTTGACCCCAGCCTATCAAGTATCATCAGGACTGCCTGCATCTTCTTCCTCTCCCCCCCCCCATTAGGGGGAAGTAATCAAAGAACAGGCAACAGAGTCCATGTCAGCCCCTGCTCACCTTACTAGGGAACCCACATGAAGACTGAGCTTCTTGTAAGCTACATCTGAGCAGGAGCTTTAGGTCCTCTTCTTGCATGGTCCTTGTTTGGTGTATCAGTCTCTGTTGGCCCCTACAGACTACAGAGTGAGTAGAAGCACAAAGACACACATGGTATATACTCACTTATAAGTGGATATTAGCCTTATAATATAGGATAAACATACTAAAATCTATAGTCCTAAAGAAGCTAAACAACAAGGAGGACCCTAGAGAAGAGGCTTAATCCTTATTTAGAAGGGCAAACAGGATAGACATCTAATATGACAGAAAACAGGACAGGAGCCTTCCACAGAGGACCTCTGAAAGACTCCACCCAGCAGGATATTGAAGCAGATGCTGAGACTCATAGCCAAACTTTGGGTAGAGTGCAGGGAATCTTATGGAAGAAGGGGGAGATAGAAAGATTTCAATAGTTGTTACTCAGTCACTTGATCTAATATGTTCTTTCCTCTTCTCCAGTAACTTGAGAACTTAGTGGTATATGCCATCCATGCATACTTTAGAATTTTTGTCTTCATACTCTGAGTATGTACCATTCATATCTACTTAACCCACCTTCATCTTAACAGGCCTTTGCACAAACAGAAAAAGTACATGTGGAGCTCACTGCTAAAAACTTAGTTAGTCCAGTACTTTTTTTTTTTTTTTTTTGTGCCTTGGCATAATATGGCGGATTTTAGGTTTCATTGAAATATTTGGGTACTTTTGTTTTAGTACTTTGAGTTCTTTATATTTTATTTGTTGTTTTCAAGTGTGTGAGTATTTTGCCAGCACTTCTTGGTGTTTGGTGACCTCAAAGGCAGAAGACGGTGTTAGATTTTTTGGAACTGGTATGACAGATGGTTGTGAGCTGTCAGTTAGGAGTTGAATCATGGTCCTCTGGAAGAGTAGTCAGGGCTTTCAACTACTGAGCAATCTGTCCGTACTTTTAGTTCTTAGGAAACTGTGAAATGGAACAGGCATCCAGTTAATCGTTTCTTTCGTTCTTTGGGAAAGGTCATGCAGACTGAGCTGTTTCCTTTAGGTGCTGTGCCCAAAGCAAGAGGTAAGAGTGAAAAATAGAGGGCTGGAGAGATGGCTTAGAAGTTAAGAACACTGGCTGTTCTTCTAGAGGTCTTGAGTTCAATTTCCAGCAACCACATGGTGGCTTGTAACCATCTAATGAGATCTAGTGCCCTCTTCTGGTATGCAAGCAGAACACTGTATACATAATAAATAAATCTTAAAAAAGAAAAAAAGTGAAGGAGAGAGTTGGGGTTGTGGTTATATTCTTTCTTAGTAGTGAGTAGCCTAGAAAACACACCAGTAGTTGGACCTTATGAGGCTGAGGTTTAAAAGCAGAATTTTATTTAATACTAAGAGGAACTGTTTTATAAATTGATTATACATATTTTTATAAAATTGATCATATACTGCAGGTATCTTAGTTGAGTATTTTACATGTCTCACTAAAATCAAACATACATAAGTTTCTCCATTTTGAGCCATTCTCCTCTTCATTAGGAATTTAAAGGTTTCCCTGCTGTAAGTCTTCACAGCACACTGTACCAAATTCATGCCCCACATTCTGCTTTTTGAAAATGTCTCTTCTAGAGCGTGGTAGGTGTATGGCACTGACCTTCATTTCTCAGTGTTTATAAGTAATAAACTGTTATTTGTATATTTTAGACATGCTGGACTCTTAGCAAAACTAGTTCATACTTATTTGTATAAATGTACTTACTGTACAGGGAAAACCCCATAATTTTTATGTAGAAACAAGGAACTAGTAGGAGCCTAGCCAGGATAGTTCTGGATCCAAAAACGATGGAGAAAGATTGTTTTGACATGTTACATAACTAGAATTAAAGGCTGAAAGAAAATTTGACACATTCAAATTTTTGGCTGTTTCTTTTTTTTAGAGACATTAGAAGAGATGGATAGTGAGTTGCTCAAGTGTGAATTCTGTGGAAAAATGGGATATCCAAATGAATTCTTACGGTCAAAACGATTCTGTACTATGTCATGTGCCAAAAGGTATGTTCGTGTTTTGGGATTTACTTAGGAAGAAACAGTAATTTCTGGGAAAAAAAAAAATCTAGACAGGGTTAAAGTGGAGCATAGGTAAGAGTCAGGTCTGATAACACAGGGAAGGTTAGGGGCCATCTGCAGCAACTTACTCTGGTGTCTATGTACTAGAATTTGCTGTGTGAAGTATGTACTAATGATGCAGTTTCATATTATACTCTAATGCAGCAGCAGGCATCTGGTGCAAGGATATGCTTTGGAGAATCTTCTGTAGCATGACTACTATGTGACAAAACATTGGTCTTGTGTTTAAAAAAATTACTAGTTAACTTTCAAAATTAATTAGTAATTAATTTATTTTTATGTAAGGTCTTGCTATATAGCCCTGGCGAGCCTGGTTTTACTATGTGGACCAGGCTGGTCTCCCAACATTCTGTGATCCTCCTGTCTCTGACTCCCAAGTGCTGGGATCAAAGCCATGTATCACCATGTCCAGGTAGAATACTAGTCTATAAAGATTAATACAGGGGCTGGAGTGATGGTTTAGCTGTTAAGTATGCCTGATGTGGACTGGTGACATGGCTCAGTGGTTAAGAACACTGGCTGCTCTTGGAGACGTCCTGAGTTCAATTCTCAGCAACCACATGGCTGTTCACGACCATCTATAAAGGGGTCTGATGCCCTCTTCTGGCATACAGGTGTACATGCAGACAGAGCACTCCTACATTATATATATGTATACCTAATGCTCTTTCAGAAGACTTGGGTATGTTTAGGTTGATTATTTTAAAGTTTATATTCTCTTAAGAAGCCAGTGAATTTCTTGCTTGAACGTATTTTGAATAGTTGCCGCAGAGCTACAATTGGTTGAACTTACCTTTAATGAGCATAATAGAAATGTTTCTTCCAAAAGTGAGCTCATTGTTTCCATCCATTACTCAAATGTTTTTCATGATTAGGGGCAGATCTGTAATAAGATTATGTTGGATTTATGTTTTAACTTGAATTTCAGTTTGCATTAAACACATGAAAGAACTGTAGCTTTCTAATGCTGGTTAAAAACACTTGGAAATTTGGGAACTGGTCTGTCTTTCAGGATATTTTAAATCTCTTGATTATTTAGAAGTATATCAGGACACTACCTGTCATTACCCTTCTCCCAGAGACAGTGACTGACATGGCACATACTATACTTCAGATGAGCCTCTTGAGACATCGGGGTGGGGATGGGGGAGGTGGGGTCTAGCAAGTGCAGCATGGCTGAGAGAGAGAGGCTGTGTCAGGTCGGGGAGGCACTGCTGCTGTTTATGTGGCTGCTTAGTGGTCAGTCTGGGAGAGCTAACTATATAAGGACTGACTACCAGGCACAGAACTAGTTCTCTCCTTTCCTCAGTAGTAAGCTTTGTCACTTGTTATGTTAAATAGAAATCAAAATATGGCTGAGCCCACAGATAGTTATCAATAACAAAACTGATGCGTGTATTTTGATTTTTAGAATATGTGTGTACCATATATGTGCCTGATATGGAAGCCAGAAGAGAGGGCATTGGATCCCCCTAGAACTTGGCAGTCAGGCAGTTGTGAGCCTCCACTGTGTGCTAAGAACCAAACCCTGGCCTCCATGTGTGCACATGCATCTGCACACATATGTGCTATTGTACTGCAATACACATTGGCACATTCCTTTCCACATACACTAAAAACATAAGAAAAAAACAGATTATATCTGTTTTTTAAATATATCACTTGAAAAATTGTTTAAATAAGCATTGGAAATATTTATTACAAAACATTTCTTCTGGAACCATGAATTTTCTTGATGTTTTGCAAATTATCTTTTACATTTTGCAAGTTTCTCATTATTCTTCTATAATCAGGAGAAAATACTATTACCTTGTTATAGATATCTAGTATTTTGTTGATGGGTATTTTATGGTATACTCAGGGGCCATATTTGATCTGTAGCATAAATAGATCTATTCAGTAAATGTACTTTGTAAGTTATTACAGTCCTAAATAATTGTCTAGGACTTACTGTGTCACAGCTGTACTTCAAAGTTAAATATTAAATGGGCTTTCCCAATGTTGCTTAATTTTTCTCTCTTGAATTTCTTAGGTACAATGTTAGCTGTTCTAAAAAATTTGGACTTAGTCGTTGGAATCGTAAGCCTGATAATCAGAGTCTTGGGCATCGGGGCCGTCGACCAAGTGGCCCTGAAGGGGCAGCAAGAGAGCATCTCCTTAGGCAGGTCTGTAGAAAGCTTGCTTCAACGTACAATGTCCTTTTCAGAAATGCAAGGAAAGTGCAATGCTGTATTTTACTTGTACTGCATTTTCCAGCTTCCAATTACTTATCCATCTGCAGAAGAAGACGTGGCCTCTCAGGAAGATTCTGTGCCCTCTGCTATGACAACTCGTCTGCGCAGGCAGAGTGAGCGGGAAAGAGAACGTGAACTTCGCGATGTGAGAATCAGGAAAATGCCTGAGAACAGTGACTTGCTTCCCGTTGCACAGAGTGAGCCCTCTATTTGGACTGTTGATGATGTCTGGGCCTTCATCCATTCTTTGCCTGGTATGTAACTTAGACAGTGGCCTGGATGTTTTCTTGTGCATTCACAAGAAAATGATGTTAAATCTATCTATACCGTTGGCATTAAAGGCTAGAGAATCTCTGTGTGTGTAAATTAAATGGTGTTTGTATGCTCTTTCTAATTTCCTTAGCATATTATGTATTCTTTCATACTCCTAAAATTAATACCAACTGACTAGTCCTGCTAGCAGGATGGTAAGCTGCTGTGTTCTCCAGTCTGATTCTCTCAGGAGGTCAGGAGCATGAATTGACACATCTTCCTTTCTCCTTTTCTATTTTTCTGTTCTATTTCCTCTTTGCTTCCTCAGCTAACTCTTTTTGAAGCTGAAACAAGGAACACCCTATTTTTGTGTGTGTATATTTTTGAAAGCTAATAAATTCTGTAGAATAGGGTACAATTTTGGCTTCTTTATAAAAAGCTACATTCATTCTAATGCTGAGAGAGTAACCTTCTCATGCTTGCCTGGTCTCTCTTTTTGGTACTTTAATCACCAGCATCAGCTTCCTTTTTCTTTAAGCAACAGCCTTTGCATCTATGTTGCCCCAAGGGGTTGGCAGCTAAATGTAGTGACACCTTTGCTTATATGAGATCCACAGTAAACATATATTAGGACAGTGTGTATCTTTTAAATTTGTAAAACACTGCTCTAGAAAGTGAGATTTAAAAAAATATGTTCCCTTCTGGTCTCATTGTGAGTTATATCATTCTCTTTAAGCTATCTAGAAGAACACATCTCACTTTTAAATTGAACTAATTATTGAGGTGTTGCTGTCTTCCTATGGAGGTGACATACAAACGTAAGAGTTGAAGGAAATAAATTTAGAAATATTAAAACTGCCGTCCTAAAATTTTAGCTTACTTACTGAACCCTGAAATTTTATTATTGTATCATGGCTTTTCTAAATGCTAACTTTTTAACAAAACAAGGTATTGTCCTGCTTATAGGAAGAAGAAATTGCTTAAAGAAGTGTAGTTCATGTAAACTTGTAAGCGCCTATGTAAGAAAAGATGTATATTAATAGTGGGCTAGCATGTATAGTCTCTGCTTTAAACTTGGTCTCAGTGGCGGTGGGGAGTAGTGAACCTTCACTGATAATTGTTTTAATATTTAGGGAAACAGAACCAGTTTTTAGTTTCAGACCAGCACAGCTGTCTCGAGATTAACACCAGAGTGCAAACTGATCAGCCGGGGTTGGGCACTTTCTCTCCTCTGTAGTCTGTAGACATGTAGACATAGACTACAAAGGGGCTTGCAGTGTGTTTGTGAGTCTGGGTTCTGACTGGATTATGCCTGCTTTGGACTGCTTCAGCAGATCAGAACGGTCTGATGGAGACTTTGTCTTGCTCTTCTTTCCTTTGAGTTCAGCAGCTACACCAAAATCTGAACATCCTTGGCTTACTGAGTTCATCTGCAGTTAAGAACATCACGTCAATAAAAAGGGAGCTGATTGGTTCTATTTATTTACTGCTGAGGACATAGGAGTATTTCTGACAGACCAAATCTATTCGTGTAATCAGTTATTGCCTTTCTAAAAGTTTTCCTCAGAGTAATGCTCTGCTACACCAAAAAACATGTGTTGATCAGTCTTCCTGCCTCTCTGGCATTATAAGTAACTTACTGAACTCCTTCAGGGCTGCTTCTTTCTCCTGAGCAGTCTTTTGCAAGCTTTTCTTAGGAGGAACAAGTTTATTAACCCCTTTGTGATCTCTTACATGTTCTTTCCACATCAGGGCACCTGGATCCACTCTTGGGTTTCTCTTAGTTGTGCATCATGTTATTAAACACCCTGTGTTTAAAGCTTCCAAGTAGCAAACTCACATCTCAGAGCTGTTCCCAAGGTGAAAAGTAACACAACCTTGTGCGCATTCAAAGGTTTTCAGAACACTTCTGGTTTCAACTAATTGCAGGTTATCTTCTTTGTGTTAGTGAACGGCCCTTTTAGAAAGCTTATTCTATGTTGATCTATGAATCCATAAATTTGTGTTCTCTGTAGGAATGCAGAGTAGAAGTTATTTCTTTTAAGTTCAGCTGTTAACTGGCTTTGGGAACATGTTTATTCTGCAGTAGTGTGTGGCACTTGAGGTCAATTTGTACATAGGATGTTTTGATTTGGATATCAAAGTGGGAGAAGTGATTGTGGACACTGGAAAGTTCAGATAGGATGTGGCAAAGATCAGTGCCTTACTGAGAGTGCGCGCTCGGTCAGGGTGAGTGGAGCCAGCCAAGCTGCCTGGCTGCTTCACTGTGTGCTTTGCATTCAGTGGTTGGCTTGAGGCAATCCTAGCGGATGCTGCAGTCAGTCAGGATGTTAGTAACTCACAGAAGTTTGTTCAGAGTATCTTGAATATTTAAAAACAAAAAAAAAAATTCTTGATTTTTTTTTTCCCCAGTAAGTTTCTGGATGTATAACTGATTGTCCCTTCCTTTTCTGTAAGTTACTTTATTTTCTCATTACTGTCTTAATGTAACAATACTTTTTGTGGTTAGCTTGAGAAAATTGCGATCTAAAAATATGACGATAATGTGTATTATTTAATCATGCTGTTTCCCAATACACTTGAGAAATATTTTGCCAATGCTTTTGCTGTCTACATCTGGAAAGGAATCTCAGTCAGGAGGAATGAGAGCATGCTGGGTATTTCCTTAAGGGAGCACCTTACTTCTATCCCCAAATGTAGCTCTTGTGGTCCTCACTACTCACTACTCCTGATTTCTGAATCTAAGTAAGTCCTATCCTTTCTTTCTCTCTCTTCTTTCCTTTCCTGGGTTCTTATAAATAAGACTGGAGAGAAGAACGTTAGTTCTTCCATAAAAGAAGGATGAAGTCACAACTAGATGCAAGATTAGTCAGTTTTGTTGAGAGCTACCTCTGGGAAAAGAAAAAGGGCTTTTCTATGGTGAGTAACCCTGTTTCATCTATATGGTATATGTGTGGTACATGGGCAAAGCCATGTAAATTTTATACAATATTTTGAAATATAAAATTTTGAAAGTCTGAGAAATTACCAACATAGAGAAACTGAAAAGCTGGCTGCTGTATAAGAAGCAGTAAAGCAAAAAAAAAAAAAAAACAAAAAACCAAGGTCATTGGGGGACACTGAGGAAAAAGTTGGCCCCGCTCGTGACACACAAACGAAGAATGTTACTGCCACAGATAGCTCTCCATAGTGGATTATGTTTACTCAGCTTATCATTTCTTTACTTGTCCTTATGTAAATGTATGTGTGCTGCTCTGTAGTGCTTCCGGGGTCCTCCTGGGGTTATAGGGTGGGCCTTGTTACCTTAATACAAGCTAGAGGATAACTTTACAATGGAAAAGAACCATCCTGGCAAAACTGTTGTATTCTGAGGTGCAAGTTAACCATTTCTATTTCTCATCATCTCTTTTCTTGGAATACTGATTTGAATATAGAAGAGGCTTTAAAACTGTTAAATCTTGTTCCTAAAATAACTTACATTTGTAAGGAAACTTTCATGTTCTTGCATTCTCTCTTCTTTGGTCTCCATAGTTGGTTACCTAACCTAGAGGTTTCTTTACTGTAATAGGTGGTTGTGCAAGTATTTTGGTAGACAGTACGAATAGTCAAGATTCAGATAGCAAGAGAATGCTTTAAGCTGAGAGCTAATGCACTGTTTACTTGGTAGGTGGTTACCCTGTAGCTTCTTAATTTCAATGACAACTTGTTTTCTTGGGTATAAAGGTGAAAAGTGCTTGCCTGCCATCTCTAGGGCTCTGGGTTCCATTCCCAGCACCACTAACAAAAAGGTTATGGAACTTTCCTGTAATCCCAGCTTGCATTGGGAAAACAGGATAATAAAGTCAAGACCAGCCTGGGCTACATAGACTGTTACAAAACAGAGATGAAAAGTAGAAATGAGTCTAGTGATGTTAAGCTTTGAAGTTATTGTTGTAAGCTGAGCGGCATGGTGTATGTCAGCAGCATTGTAGCATGTTAATACAATCCTGGGGGATTTGTTCTGTTCTGAGGCAACAATAAACATATTTTAGACATACAGACATTTGCACACTGAATGTGTAAATTCAGAGAAAGTATGGGTAATAATGAAAGTTTAATCTAACACTTGAGAAAATATTTCCAGATTATTATTTATAGCAAAACATTTTATTCCTCTATCTGTACGTGATCTTATGTTATGTAAAGATGAGTACCTTTTGCATGGGAAATGCAATATGTTGACTGATCCCTCTTTTTTTTTTTTTTTTTTTTAAGATTTATTATTTATACAGTATTTTGCCTGCATTTGCAGGCAAGAAGACTACACCAGATCTCATTATAGATGGTTGTGAGCCACCATGTGGTTGCTGGGAATTGAACTCAGGAACTTTGGAAGAACAGCAAGTACTCTTAACTGCTGAGCCATCTCTCCAGCCCGACTGATCCCTCTTACCTCTTGCTATTTGTGTAATTTTTTAGAGTGAGACTTCCAAGTAAACTTGGGTTTTGACTTCTTCAGGGGTGAACGCCATGCTTACCAGGATTTTGGTTTATCAGCCTCTGTTGTAAACTCTCAGACCTACTGACAGCAGAACAGTGAAGCACTCCATCTAATTGTGTATAATTCTAACCTTTCTCTCATGGAATTCCAGGCTGCCAGGATGTTGCAGATGAATTCAGGGCACAAGAGATTGATGGACAGGCCCTGCTCTTGCTAAAAGAAGACCATCTCATGAGTGCAATGAACATCAAGCTGGGCCCAGCCCTGAAGATCTGTGCACGCATCAACTCTCTGAAAGACTCGTAACAGGAACTGAGACTTGGTGTGACATCAGTTTTATTCCTCCTAATAGGTAAAGGTAAAGCCTCATCTGGCTGAGAATACTAGGCTGATGCTGGAAGGCCAAGCACATTGGGACCACCACATCTAGTGCCGGCATTTCTCTTCAGATACCCTAGGTCATCATACATTTTCATAATTAGCCAACATTGGTGAAGTTAATTTTACCACACTGAAAGACTTGTTACAGAGGCCCATATTTTTCAAAGAAACATGTTATACTAGATAATTTTTTAAAGGTAATGTTTACCATTAATATAAAAGAATCCTTTTAAAAATAATTGATTTACACTCCCCCTTCCTTTAATTCCATTTTCTTGTATCTTTTTTTACCCTGTTAGTTTTCTAAAGGTTGTTGTAGAGATATAGGGTAATTTAGGAGCCCATTGACAGAACTGAATGCAATGAAATACCAGTGTGTTTAAAAACAATAACAGATCTTTCAGACAAATGCTTTGGTTGTGAAAAAGGATTATGTTCTAACATAAGCAGTATTTATGGAGGTCACAAGTGTCTCTGTTCTAGACTTCACCCAGATTGGCATGACTGACAGTTTTCCTCCAGACTTTGTACATTAAGAGCAATAGTTTTCAGTGGAGGTCCCTCTTTGTCCTCCAGGGGACAATGGCAATTATCTAGACATATTTTGGTTGCTACAACTTGGGGTTGAGGTTTTAGGGAGAGTTGTTATAGGAATCGAGGAAGTAGTGACAGACAGCCAGAGATGTTGCTGAATGTCCTACAGTACACAGGACATCCCTCTGTCAATAATGATGTTTTACACATGCCAGTGGTGCTAAGGTTGAGGGGCCTTGCTGAGCAAAGAGCTGCATGCTGCTCTTTTTCACCTGCAGAGACATAAGTGAAGGATGGGCTGTGATGAGGAGTACGTGGACAGTGAAGTATTATTCAGATGGCACTAATGTTCTACGGAAGTAGTTTTTAGTTTTACTGTATACTAAAAAGAGGACATCCATAAAATTGGCCTATACAATTAGGCTAACTTAGAAATCATATGGCTCTGATATGGCACTGGCCATACTCACCTCTTCCTGGCTCTTCCTCTGCACTGGTGAAGGTGTCAGATGCATTCGTGCCTATGAGCCTCTTCCAGCAGAAGAGTTGGCAGTGGAGATGTGATTCTCTTCCCAAATGCTCCAAGCAACCCTGCTGACTCTGGCTAGGATGAACATCTCTTTCTCCCTTACTAAGCCTTTGGATTTTCCCACAAAGTATTTAAAGTGATTTCTCTTAATCAAAAGTTTTCATTCAACAGTTTTCTGTTAGGGCATTAAGACAAATTTTCTGTGGATGCTCTGAGAGCCTTATGGTACTGGGCATCAAAAGATTTGCTGATTGTGTTTGCTTTCTCTATCTTTACTACATGTTTGAGAAATCTGAACAGCTGAAGGAGCATGTACAAATCCTTTGCCACAGATGTAAGAGACAGCAAGAGTCTGAGTGCAATCATTTCTACTGCTCTTTTCAGAGATCATGTTGAGCTAGTATAAGACTGAGATGTCACAAGGATATCACAGATATTTATCTTTTGACTTTGTGTACATTCGAAATGTTGGTTATTTTTATACAAAAATATAGCAGATAATTTTTTTAAGCTTTAGATGCCTCTTGTTTGAATGTACACTTTGTGGGATGTTTGGTGTAGTGTTTTAAGAGGTGTTCACTGGCAGTCCTGTGTAGACTCAGAATGTGGAAGTAGCGTGAGACTCCTGTTTCAGACCTACAGCAGTATAGTCTACATTACATATTTCTTTGCATCACTGTTATTAACATTTCAAGGAAGGTAGGTGCTCTACTGTCAGCTTCATTTATTAGTACTGAGTCATTATGGCAGAGTTGTCATAGACTTTCCCCTCATTAACACAGGCTAAGCAGCACTAAGAGATTGCCTGCCATTATGGAGGAGGCACACAGGCAGATTTCCTCTGGAATTAAAACTGTATTGTGGTAATCCACAGTTAATATAAGATTGATTGTCTAGTGTAGGCCTCCAGCAATAATGCTTTTCCCTCCTATTAATACTTATACACATAGCCTTTAAGGTGTTAACTCTGCATTTTTACTAAAATCAGTCCATGGTGTGCTTATGAGAAACCCCTGTGCCTAGCCCTGCCTTTAAGCATCCCTAAGCAGTTTACAAGAAGGGTTTCTATTGGAGAATGCCTTTTTGTCCTTAATCTTAGAAGTAGTCTAGATCTTCTGTTGTCTGCACTTAAATTTAACTAGAAAATACACTTTTATACAAGTGGGTTGATTTATTAGGAAGTGGCTCATTTGGTAGTTCTCCCATTGCTGCAGGTATTTCTAATTTTAATCACCCGAATTGGAAAGCTTCAATTAAATGGGGACACACCATGTTTCCCTGTCTCCTGAGCATTAGGCTGTTTAGTATGACATGGACAGGAAGAATGCTATTTTCATATTACTAAGCCCTTTAAGAACTTTCTTGGAGGAAAAAAATGACAAGCAGAAAGGAACCATGATTCATCCCATTTCTGCTACCCAAGTTTGCATTTCCAATCTTGAAACCCTTTATCCACTGTGGGACATACTTGTCACATTTTATTTGTTTTAAGTTCTGTGTTCTTAGGAAAATAGACATCTGGCTTCTAAAAATTACTTTATATGACAATACTTATAAGCTTTGTGTGGACATGTGTAAGGCACAGTGACACAGCCGCATTATAAGTCAGACAGCATGGGAATGCTATCTCCAAACCTGCCACGTCAGTGGAATGTAACTGGTTACATTCACTTTCACTTTGCTGTGGAGTTCTTTGTCATGGAATTGTGAAGACTAGGTGAAAGGACTGTCACATGGAAGTAGAGATGCTGGAACCAAGAGGAAAGGAGTGTTAGTAAACAAGCTAGAGAATGGCAGAGGAAAATGGGACTGCCCACTCTTGTTCGTTTTATCACTGCAACAACTGAACAAATTTCTGCACTTTTCAAGTTAAAATTCATGCTTTACCTAAGTAAATAGAAGGTTTTTTTGTTTGTGATTTAGGAATCCTGCTGCTTTCCTCTTTGTTTCTTGTATTGGAGGAATAGCGAGTGAGACTGTTATCGTTCGTTGCCATGCCTTTGAATAATTATTCAGTCTTCATATTTTAAGTGAAAAATTCAGTAACATATCTATTTACAAATACAAATCTTGGATTGAAGTCTTTCATAGGACCCAGTTTCTCACAAGCTTGTGTCTCAGCAGCTATGTCCTGTGTATGAAATCTCTGACTGGTAATACTGTTACAGCATTTCAAACATGTTTTCAGCCAAATGTTGAGCTTTGAAGACTTTGTGAATGCCAGCAATACTTGCTGGCAACTGGTACTGTTAGCTGGCATGGAATGGCCTCTACTTATTTCCTTCAGAGAGCCCCATCTAAACCCAACCCCACCTCAAGTAAACTATACAGAAACGTTCTTAGTTCTTTGCTTGGGGTTGGATAGTATCCTGGCTTGGAGATCTTCAGGATTTTGTAATGGTGTGGCACCTTTATAACTTTACCAGTTGTATTTCAATGAAAGCCTTGTCCATATATTCAAATCATTTTTAGTTATGTTTCTTGTGCACCATACATTAACTCTGTGACTAGCTGTGCCCTAAAGTTTTTTTAGAGGGGAGGCAGGTAGGGGGAACAGTAGAGGAAGAGACAGCTAGGAAGATGACCCTGCTAGCTAGCTAAAGACAGTGTGATGGTCATTAGTAGCTTAAAATACTCCATGGTGGCAGAGGACTGGACATGGCATGTTAGGTGTTCTGTTCTGCTGGTACTAGGGACTGAGTCAGGGCTTCACACTCCACTGCTGAGGTTACACACTGTTTCTTGCATGTTTGCCTAGACTAACCTGAGTTGTGGTCCTCTGACCTTCTCAAGTACTGGAATTAAGGTCTGTCCCACCATGTCAAATTAGCCCCCATGGTTTTAAATGTCAAGATTTGCCTGAAATCAAATTAGTTTATCACCTGCCCCTGCCCTGAGAAGCATTGATATTAATAGTACCCACTGGGACCTAAGTGACTGATCCTGGATTTCTGAAGATAACCAGTGACAGGGAGTGTATTGTCAAAATTTGGAAGTTCGTTATGATTGAGTGGCCAGGATAGAGGAGTTTCCACAGTCAGATTCCACAGTTGACTCAGTCTCGCCACTGCTCATCCGCTCATAAGGACAGGCACTGTCAGGCACTGTTTGTTGTTTCAGTCTGAGCACTGGTGATGTAGCCAGAGGTTTCTCCTACTGGCAGATTCCAGTAAGCACAAGCCTGACTGTTTTCTTGGTACAAAACAGAATGACTCATGATATGAACTGTTTTAACTCAAAGTCATCAATACTAATAATTTACCAGTCCATTTAGAATATTTTATTTCATCTCAAAGATTGGTTTTCAGCTTAGATGAGTACAAATAAGTATTAGGAAAAGTAAATATGTTTTCTTCTTGAAATTTAATTTTAACTCATTGAACCATACAGCTTAAGAAATTCTCTGAGAAGATATTTCTCTTGTGTTAAATTATAAAATGCATTGCCATATACTTTATAGTTAAAATAAAAGCTGTTTCAATTAGAAATCTTGAAAATGAGATTAACTTTTAAAAAGTTACCCAAAATGTTAAGAACTTACAAGTTGTGCATATAATTTTAAAGTTTGATCTATTTAAAGTTTTCTACTAAGAGAAATCTTTTTTTTTTTTAAAGTTACAAGGTACCAATTTAAACACAATCATTACCATCATGTTCCAGAGAAGAACATTAGGAGGCCTTTCCCCCTGCTGTAACATGTGACCTGCTTCCCTAAGCCAGAGTCTAATTTGCACACTCTCTGGCAAGTGCCACGAGGATTTAATTTTCCTTCAGTAGCTTGTGAACATTTTATTTTATTTAAAAATAATAATTTTAATAAAATGTTAGGTACAAAATGAGCTTCTAACACTTTATATTTTAGGCAAAGGTCTTTTCAAGTATAAAACTACTGCTGTCTGTGATATTGCCGATATTGGGTATGAATCTATAGAAAAAAGTATATAATAAATGAATTTTAATTTTGAAAAAATCAGTATAAATTTTAAACACCATTATGCTAGCATGGCATAGTTTTAATGAAATGTAGAAATCCAAGAGGGATGTAGTTAAGTCCTTTTATCCTGTTTTAATTATTTCCAGTCGTCATCTTAGATATTCATAGCACCTATGAATACAGAGAATGTTACTGGCTTAATAGAATACATCAGTGTTAACCGTGCTTAAGTGGACCATTTTCTGGCAGTGGTGAAAGAGCAGTGGAGATTAGAGCATCATTGAAACTAACATGGATCCACTGTAGAACAAACGACTGTTTTAGTCTTGCCTCAAGTAAACTAAGTATGTACAGTGTTTAAAGTCCTTGTACATAATGCTTGTGTTAAAATGTTTTGGTAGTATTAAAAAGTGAGCAGATTACTATTTTTTGTCAGTAGTCTCAGATAAATATACCTGCCGCATAACCGTGCTGCATGAAGTGGAAACACTGTGGCTTCAAGACTTGGCATTACTCCAGATGGCAGAATAGCTATGTGACACGTTGGGTAGTTTTTTGGGTTTTAATCTCATTTGAATGTACAGTGTGAAACCTGTACTACTAAATATGCTGATTTTTTTTTTTTTTTTGTGCTTCAATCATGTTTGAAGAAACATCTTCTTCCAGCTTTACAATTACAGTCCTGAGCTACATAATTGGGATTAACACTGGCCTGACTGAATGACAAGTAAATACCATTTGAGTGAATACCATTTGTAAACTATTTGAACACTGGGTGGTGTGGAATCTATGAGTAAGAAAATAGTAAGTAAAGTCTTCCCACACAAACTCACTGCTGCGTAAGCATGTAAGTCCTACTAGTTACTGCCCATTGTCTGGGGACTGAGGGTTCAATAACATGCGAGGGGTCACATCACCACTGCCACACCATACATCTGTTGACCGTCTACTTGACCGTTGACAACAGTAAGAGTACCTACCATGACCAACGGTGAGATTGCTGTGACAGGCATTGTCAAGACCATTCCTGTGTATGCTATGTGGCCAGATGCAAGAAGCTGATGTGGAATCATTGTATATTTTTAGTTGCAAAGATTTTTACCCAGTATTGTTAGCAGAGTAGTTTTCCAAAACAGAATTATCTGAAAGGAAGCCAGGAGAAGAGGCTGCTGCTGCTGCTTTCTACGGTGTTGATTGTATTGTATGCTAGGGATAGCGAGCAAACTCTCAGAGACATGTAAGAATCAGAGGTATGCAGTGCATCATGAAATGTAGACCTGGGAAGTATTTGAGGAGGAGAGATGGAGTAAGAATCAGTTTTAATTGGATAAATTCCCTTGTCACTCTGGGAGTCTGTGAATCAGGTTGTAACTCTTGCTTTAAATACTAACATCAGTTGATACTAACTTTATAAAGATATAAAAATATATTTTAACAACTTTATTGTATCATAGCTGTAGTTGTTTAAAGTGGGAAAATGCCCAAATAAAGTGTTAGATTACAATATGTAATAGATGCTTTCAAACTGAGGTTTTTTTTTTTTTTTTTTTTAAGTTATAATAATCTAAATAGCCCAATAATCTGGCCTTTGTAAACTGTTCCACAATTCTGGTTACTTTTCAAGTATTTCAAACTGTATACTTAAGTTGTAAAATACCCTGGGCTGTTCTTGCATATGTATTCTTAGACCTTCAGAATTCAGCTGAGAACACAGATTATAATTTTTATTGTGTGATTTCCTACATTGATGTACCAGACTGCTAATCACCTCATTCAAAAGATCGGTCTCCCCCCCCCCCCATAGGGGATTAAAAAGACAAAATTCAGAAATTCTTGGAAAGTACAGGGAATGAGGTTATGTGTTGCAGACAGCCGTGCACAGAGGTAGATGCTGACTGACATAAAGCCTCTTGATTCAGTTAGAACTCTTTGCCTTTCTACCACTTAAAATTTGTTTCACAAGGGCAAGTTGCTGTGATTAACCTTTTTTAAAAAATCCTTTAAGAATATTTAAAAAAAAAAATCTTCTCTTTGGTTTTTACCATTGTTCTAAAATCAAAGTTCTATAGTTACAAAAAAAAAAAATCTCAAAAGATGATTCATCAAGAAAAAAAAAGCATCCCCCAGGGGGTAAAGAAAACATGTTTTAATCTTAGAGAAAGCAAATATTAAGGTTATATAGCTGTGTCTTACATTGGACGTTGTATTAGAGTCCTCCTCACAGGAAATTATATAGTTCTAGCACCCTTAGCATAGACTTATTAGACTGCTGCCCATAGCTACAGTTTTACAATGTATAACCTGAAAATGAAGTTAATTTTGCATTATAAGAGCACACCATTATCTATGTAAAAAGTGTTCGTTTGATGTATTTTTTTAAGAAGAGAAAGCACTTTCATATTAAGTCGCATGTGTATGAACTTTAGACTTCCTGTTTGTGTGTCTATTCAGTGAAAAACAATGGAGCATCAGATGTTTGCTGGCAGCGTAACTGCTAATGGAAGCACCTTATACTCTGCTGCTTAAACTTGCTTGGATTGCACCTTTGTTACCTGCACACTTTCACATAGAGTATTGTAACATGGCTTCGAGTGGGTCTGGGTGGAAGACTAGTGGTGGGCCTACAGGATCTTTTATTTATGTTGTTTATATTACGATAATATATTGTAGACCAGTTGTAACTTCAGTTCTTTACAAATAAAAGCCTGACTGGTTATCGAATTATTTCTTTAAGCTTTTGAGAGCTGGGGGAAAAAATCTAATAAAGACCTTAATGGAAGGCTGAACTGGCTGTAAATTTCCTGCTATATAACTTACAGAGCATACATTAATATGCATGTTTGATTCTCATGTTATGGGAAACTGGAAGGCAAAAAACCATGGAGAAGAAACATATACAAGTGAATTTGAAAAGGGTCAGCTTCCTACATGTGCACTGCACAAGCACACACTGCTGCTCACTGCATCACGGTTATACCTACTGAGCTTTGTCGTAGGTAGAGTGCTTGTCTGCAGGCATGAAGTCCTGGTTCAATCCTGAACATCACACAAATCAGGTGTGGTGGCTTTGGATGTAATTGTATCTCTATTTGCATCTTAAAAGTAAAACAATGTAATTTTTTTAATTCCTTTCTCTTACGTGTTAGGTACCTAATTGTTAAATATTTTAAATATTGTACCTTGCAGCCTAATGATTAAGTTCCCTTCCTTCCAGTGTCTCCTTGCAACATTTGGCACAATTAAGCATATGACTCAATTGGCCAATCATTTCCTGAGGTTTTATATTTGAAGCTTTAAATTTTATATTTGGAGGTTTAAATTGAGATGAAAAAGCCTGAGCTATTGGTTAATAAATGAAGAGATAGCCTCCTAGTTTATTTTACCACTCTGTTGTTTTAGTGCCCTTTTTCGTAGAATGGCCAAGGTTAGGTTTGTATCACAAGGTATCATCTGGGATGTCTGAGACCTTACATTTTTCAGATATTATTGATTATCCCTTATGCAAAAGCATTTTAGACCAGAAAAGCTTAACCTGTGCTTTCAGCTCAGAGAATTCCTGATTATCCAGCAGCATGGCCAATTTGTCTCTCTAGGTAGATGACACTAACATAAAGACCTGTATGCTCAAGGAAACTGGACCTCAATTCCTTAAGATGTTCATAGACACTGTACATTTTAAGTAAGAGACAATTATAAAAAGCCCCTGTCTTGAGAAACAGTGAATAGGACTGATGAATGATATAATGTGGGAAAGAACACAACTCTGAAGCCAGGGCTTGAATCTTACCTCCCCATCACTTGAGTGAGCTGGGGTAGGCTTCTTAATTTTGATGCCTCTTTATTTATTTATTTTTTTTCCTTTTTGAGACAGGGTTTCTTTGTGTAGCCCTGGCTTTCCTGGAACTCGCTCTGTAGACCAGGCCTGCCTCTGCCTTCCCAGATGCTGGGTTTACGAGAGTGCAGCACCATGCCTGGCTTGATGCCTTTTCCTCCCTGCAAGCGGATGTCAACAGAGCGCAGCAGAGCAGCTGCATGCTGCGTGCTCACACAGTGCAGGCACACAGACCTGTGGTCGCCAGCAGTGCGCACACCGCTTCACTCCAGGGTTTGTTTTCCTGAGGAGTAGGGTTGGGGAGTTGTGCTCAGGGGAGATTTTTGATTGTGGAGGTTGCGAAGACATTTTTGATTGCCACTTCTGGAGAATGTGTCACTGGCATGTATACAGTGTGTAGGGTTACCCCTACAAGACAGAACTGTCTAGCCCTAAATGTCAACAGGCCAAGGCGTTTTCTAGTGTATATTGCTAACATGATTATGATCTGACATGTGAATGGTGATAAATGAACATGCAATTGGTGCATCATGGCAAGAGACCTCATGGTTCCAAGCTTCATAGGCAGAACAACTGAAATTATCCAGAAGTGTTTGTAATAAAATATTTTAGCTATATTTAAAATAAGCTAGTCTGCCCCATAAGGTATGCTCTATTATTATACAAAAATCATTTTAAGTTTTTTTTTTTTTTTCTCTAATGTTGACAAAATATTTGAGCTCAGATCTTCAAGCTGGCAGTGAAATCTCAAATTTATCTAATATTTTGCATCCAGTATTTTTCTTTTTGGGAATAAAACATCAAGCTGGCCACATGTTAATGCATTTATTTTACTTTTAGATTAATAATACCAAATACTTATACAATGTTGCTGAGTAGGTATAAAAATTATGTTTTGTTAATGTGTCCTTACAACTAGTTAATATCCACCCGACAGACTGTGCTGAAATGATAAAAGGTAGGGGAACAAGAGCTTCAGTTACTTGTCCTGCTGGTAAGATTGGTTTTGGTACTTCTGGACTTCCAGCACAGCAGCATACTAACAGATGACTATGGATATGGGCCTCTCCACTTGCTTAAGTCTAGGTACTGGAACAAAGCAGCATTTCCAGTTGATGAAAGGATCCGTAGGTAACATGCTGTCTCTTAAATAAAGCTTGTGGCAGTTAAGCCAATAAACTGCAGCAATAAGAAAACTATTGACAAAGTACAGCCAGGGGATGTTCATTTCTATGTATGCTGGGATCTGAACTCTAAGTGAGAGGATGAGGACCTGGAGTGCTACAAAGGGAAACCAGGTACTAAGAAAACACACGATGAGCCTAGGCAAGAGTGTTTTCCTGGAGATCACAGTGCAACCAGAGTGCAGTGGGAAGGGAAAATAGAGGATGGCCTTGTTCATATAGGATGCTATCCTGATAGCTTGTATCAAGGCAACAACTTCTGGCCATGAAATCAGAAAGGCCACAAATAAAACCATTAGCATAGATAGTGACAGCCAGTTACTCTGAGTGCTGACATAGGAGGGGCACTGGTGCACATAAATCCTGTGTGTCTTTAGGCTTGCTGAGATGGCTGGATCTCCCAGAACATAAGCAAGGACTGAGATCCAAGTTAAAATGACTGTCAAGAAATAGAGTAACCTTTGCCTCTGAGATGAATGCCTGGTGGCTCTAGACAGATTCAACCAGTAATCTATACAAGCCAATAAGCAGACTGGATAATGCAAAAAGCCATAAGTGAAGGAAATGATTTCTATGAGCAGACAGATGTGGTATTTAGTAAACCTAATACCCAGAACTACAAAGTCCTTGAAGTAGGACAGTATAGAAATGTTTACCAACAGTAGGAGATCAACAAATGCCAGTGAAAAGCAGAAATACTCCATAAAACTCCAACGGGTACCTTTCCTTTTCATTCCTAGGATGAGAATGTTTAATAATACTTTCCCAAGTATGATCAAGAACAACAGATAGTTAACATCTAGGGGCTGCTTCGACTGATGTAACAGGTGCTGAATAGAGCAGTTCTCTGAAGAAAGAGCTGTCATGTTTTTAGTTAAATTTCAAGACGATCTGATGAATACTTAGGATAAGAAACAGCTTCACTTTATTTTCCTTACCTGCAAAAAGAAGAGAAACCTTGGTGTTACTGTGGTGCTCTCTCCACTTTAGAACTTTCCATGCTTCTCCATTTGTACAAATTCATGACTCATAATGAGTGAAGCATTACTAGTACACATGGATACTATGACTCTCCTAACACTTTGGATAGAGAACAGGTTCAAACATGATCAGTTTTTGAGCCCCAAATAGTCCAAAACTCTGAGATCTTTAAACTGAAATATTACATTGAAGTGTAAATTCTCAATTAAGTGTAAAGTCTGTTTTTTAACAAGTGATAAAGGGACACTTCTATTTCCCTCAGCCAAAACACAGAAGAAGATGCAGGGTGGCTAGTGATACCAGTTAGCTGCTACAGAGAAACTCCCTTTTTGTCCTTTTGACAGTGAAATTTAAAGGTTAGGGTTAGGGCCATTTTGAATAGCCATTTTCACATTTTCCATTTTTCTCTGATGCTCAAAAACTAACAAGGTTGAAAATAATAGGAGCCTATGAAAAGGAAACTGCAGGATTTCTCTTTGGGATATGCTTCTTTAGATGTGGCAACTGCAGTGAACACAGGAAAGAACTGGATTGAGCATGGGTACCTGAGAACTTAACACAAGAGCAAAGGAGCCAGAGCTGAAGCTTGAGTGTCAAATGCACTGGCAAGTGGTAGAGAGATCAGAGAAGAAGAGCCAAGAAGGAAGGAAATTCCAAAAACAGCCTTCCAAGAAGGAAAAAACAAAACAAAAAAAAATGATTTGGGGATATAGTTCATTGCCTTGCATGTACAAAACCCTTCCTGAGTTTGATCCCCTAGCACCTCATCCCCCCCCCAACAAACCCCAAGCAACATATACACCTAACACACACATACACACATACACACATACAAACTAATTTCTAACAATAACAAATCTTGTGAGGAATGTCCACAAGGAAATGGGTTAAACCAACATGTGGTAGGTTATCATTAAGGTGTGTGGCATGCAGCCCTTACATCAAGAGGGCTGGGATATAGCACAATGGTAGTGCATATGCCTTGTATGCTCACTGCCCTGGGTGTGATCTCTCATACAAAGCCAACATTTTATTGTTTATTTATTTATTCTTCATTTGAATCCATAATTGTTTTCTTTTTTTTTAATTTAAATTTTATTTTGTTCTTATCAGTTACATTTTATCAAAGCCAACATTTTAAAGGTTTTTAGAAACAGGAAGATTTCATTTTCTAGTGAAAAGCAGTTTTTCTATACTTGCTGAAATTTTTCACACATTAAAGTAATGATAAATTTCTACAATGTTTTAAGTGAAATGCAAGGTACAAGAATAGTGGCATGTGCACATGTGCATCGACTCACAGCTCCCAGGAGCCAAGTGGATTACCTGAGGTCAAGGCTAGCCTGGCATACATAAAAGCCCTAGCCAGGGCTGCAGAGATTTATATTAATAACTTAATGATATATTTGAAAGCTTTAGAAAACAAGAACAACACCCAATAAGAGTAAACAGGAAGAAAAGAAATAAACTCAGCTGAAATTAATGAAATAGAACAAAAATGCAAATATCAATGAAAAGATGAATTAGTTCTTTCCAACAATTAACAATGCTGCAAACCTTTAGCCAAATTAGCCAAAAGAGAATCCAAAGTAATATCAGAGATGAGAAAGTAGACATTACAACAGACACTGAGTAAATTCATAGAATCTTAAGTACATGCTTTCGAAATCTATATCCCACCAAGCTGAAAGCCTAAAAGAAATGGATGAATTTCTGTATGTATACAAACTATCGAAGTTAAAAATTGAAAGAGACCCATAACATCTAATGAGATAGAAGTAATTAAAAATATCTCAACTAAAAAAAAAAACACAAAAACCTAGGCCAGATAGATTCAGTTTGGAATTTTACCAAACCCTCAAAGAAAACACAAATATTCTTCAAACTATTACACAAAACAAAAACTGAAGGAATATTTCCAAGATCTTATTATGAAGCCAATATTACTTTGATATACAAACCAGACAAAGACTACCACCAACAGAAAATTAAAGACCACTATTTCTCATGAACATGAATGCAAAGATTCTCAACAAAATATTTGCAAACAGAATCCAAGAACACATCAAAAGTATGCACCATGATTAAGTTGGCTTCATCCCAGAGATAAGGGTGGTTCAATATAAGTAAATCAAAAAACATAAACCTCCACATAAACAAAGGACAAAGAGCACAGAAATCTCATCAGCTGCAGAAAATACCTGTGACAAAAAAAAAACAATACCCCTTCATGATAAAAGCTTTGAAGAAGGAAAAAATGTAACAGGAATAATTAAGTTGGATAGTGATTAGGAGAATATGATAGAGAAGAGAATATAGCAAGTGGGATAGCTAACACTAAAAGCCTTTTGAGCCAGGCAGTGGTGGTGCATGCCTTTAATTCTGGCACTCAGGAGGCAAGCCAGGTGCTAGACCTAAGTCTACTGAGTGAGTTCAAGGACAGCCGAGAGAAACTGTGGGGTGAGGATGGGGAGCAATACTCCAACTAGACAGCATCTGCTTCCAAATAAGACCACCAGGACCAGGAAATGGGTCACCTACTTTTTTGAGTTGTAGGCTATTGGGGTTCATAGACCTGCACCCAAACATTAAAGGCTACTGTCGATGTATTGGTTGTGCTCTAGAAATTGACGGTAAGATCCGATTGCTGAAGATTCCACATACTTGAGTTATAGAACATGGAGAGATCTAGCTGGCACTGACTTGTAAACCTCACCCCTACTGGCTACATTTCATATTGTTAGACGGTACTATACATGCTATCAGTGGAGTAAAATAATTGTCAGTCTCACTCAGCTATGAATTCTGTGAGTTATAATAACAACTTGTCTCTCTGGCATTAGTGGCTCAAATGTTATAAAAGAAACCAACCACTGACTGGATTTAAAGCCTGCTCTACAAGATGGAACCCATACCTGACACCATTAATGAGGTTCAAAACCTGTGGCTAGTTAAGTCATGGACCTTAGGAGAAAACCTACTATTATTCCACTACATAGGTAACAGCAACAAAACTACTCCCATGGCTTATTGCTATAACTGTAGATCATCCCTCATCAGAAATGCTTCTTATAATAGATGACAATTAACATACAGACCCACAACTGGTCAACATGTAAAGAATGAGAGACTGTAAAATTCCCAGCACTAAACAGGATATCTGCTTTTTTTTTTTTTTTTTTTTTTGAGACAGGGTTTTCTCTGTGTAGCCTTGGCTGTCCTGGATTCACTTTGTAGACTGGGCGGGCCTTGTACTCACAGAGATCTGCCTGCCTCTGCCTCTCTGAATGCTGGGATTATAAGTGTGCACCACCATGTCTGGCTTGGGATATCTGTGTCTTCTCCTTTCCTTCAAGACTTCAAGAGCTACATGGACAGTGGGTCGGGAAGATTTTAACAGTCAGTGGTAGTGAATGGCTTCAAGAAAACTTTTCCAGACTCAACAGGACAGTGCGTATGTTCACTCACACAGCCTGTGATGACACGCACAGGCCTGCACAAACTCAGTCCACACTAAACTCCGGAAGGGAGGAGGGAAGGGTCACAAGTATTGCCTCTAGCTGCGGAGCTATTGGCATTTTATTGGCATCAGCGAAGGGAGAGTCTATTTTCTTTAATGGAATGACACCTGATAGCTCCAGGGCAAGACCCATGCCCAGAACTAGTTGGCCAAAACAAACTGGTTAAATTTATTTGTTTGTCTAAGTAAGAGTAGGGAGTAGGGAAGGAAGACAGTGGGAGACGGAGGAAGGTAATGAATGAGAATATATGGAGCTGGATGGATAGGGATATGGGGAGGGAAATGATCAAAATGCACTGCATGAAATTCTCAATATTTACAACAACAGCAAATATCAGTAAATTTGTGTGAAATTATATATTTATAAAATGTTAAAATGGTAGACTAAAAATTTTTTTAAATGTCGTGGTAGTTAATACTAGTAGGTGTTTCTGTTGTGTGTAAACTATAATACACACCCTTCTCCCATAATCCACTAAAAATATTCAAAATTCCAGTATTTTCTCCTTCAAATAGGCTCTCAGGACAAGGTGTGAAATCTACCTGTGTAGAATTTCCCTTGAAAAGTGTCCACCTAAGATGTACAGAATAAGGTCCTTTCCTGTATTCATGTGCCTCAAATTCAACCTAGAGAGCACTTCATGAAAGGCCTTTTTCTGACTTTTTTCTTTGAGGCTTGCTTTGAGATCTGTCCCAACATGGAAGCATGGGCACACCCTAGTTACCCCTTCTGTGCTTTCCTATCTGTAGCTTGTTATTTTGAGACTGGGGTCTCACCATGTAGCTCTGGCTGTACTGGAACTCATTATGTAGACGAGGCTGGTATAGAATTCAGAGTTACTCCTACCTCTGCCTACAGAGTGCTCAGATTAAAGGTGAGCCAACATGCCTGGCTCCAGTCTTCACCTTAACAACATGCTATACTTACTTTCTTCTTGACTTGAGCATACTGTTTTCATTTTACATCCTTCAACTGCATTACTGTTGGTTCCTATGTGCCATTTTACTATACCGAAACGTGTAACTGCTGTGAAAGGAAACAAAAGTAACCGTCATAACAGCCATTTTAGTAAACAAAGACTGTGTGTCCCTGCAGAGAAAACAAACCAGGCCAAATACTTACCATCTCAGGTTTTCTGAGCAGCAGGGAGGACAGTACTTACATTGATAGTCCACTTGAGATGCTGAGAGCTAACACAGTACCTATCAAAGAAATCTTGCAGTATATTGCAAGTTTCCCAGTGTCTAAACTACATTGGTTTAAGGATCCCCTAACACTTGTATGCTAAATAATATTTTACATTAAAAAAAATCTCAAACATAAAGAATTGACCAAATTTACACTGTTTGACAATTGCTTGAGTGTCTAGCTTAATATCAGACAGCTAAATTCTCATCTGCATTTAATCTGCCTCCATACCACACACATCTACTACACGGCTTCTGGAACCTTTTCTGTACGTTCAGAGACTTGGAAAGCAAAAAGGGTTACCTCAAGTATAACCCAATGACTGTGTTGCAGAGTTTCATTCCTGATCTTAGAAAAGTTCAATGTTCCAAATACAGCATGAGAAGACAGGTGCTCCTGATGTCAGTGCTGGGTCTAGGGTGCAGGAAATGGGTTGTATGACTCATGTTTGTGGGAGCCTGCTGCATGGAAAGAGCCTGTAAAGGACACTACACTGAAATTCTTGTATAAAACTTGTCATATATAATTGAAATACATAAAATGAAAACTACCCATTTTATTGTCTTTGAATAGCCCATCCTTCCCATTGATACCCAGCCCAGATCATTTCCTTAGATACCTCACCATACCATAAAACCCCACACATCCACATACAAACCCCATATATATAAACACATTACACGCCACACTCCACTGCACTACACACACACACACACACACACACACACACACACACTAGTAGTTTCTTGACTCCTGCTGTTAGGTTGGACCATGTGGAGACATCCTTCAGTATTTTATTTCCTGCCACATGTAATAAATAATACAGTCTAAGATGATGGTGTCACACGATACATACTCACTTATATAAGTGGGTACTAGACCTATAAGATAGGATAAACATACTAAAATTGTACACCTAAAGAAGATAAACAAGAAAGAGGACCCAGGGTAAGATGATCAATCCTCACTTAGAAAGACAAGTGAGATGGACATTGGAAGTAGGAAAAAACAAGTAACAGGACAGGAGCCTTCTGTAGAGGGCCTCTGAAAGACTCTACCTAGCAGTGTATCAAAGTAGACGCTGAGACTCATAACCAAACCTTGGGTAGAGTGCAGGGAATCATATGAAAGAAGGGGGAGTTAGTATGACCTGGAGAGGACAGGAGGAACACAAGGACCAAATATATCAGGGCACAGGGGTCTTTTCTGAGACTGTTTTTCCAACCAACGACCATGTATGGATATAACCTAGAACCCCTGCTCGGATGTAGCCCATGGTAGCTCAGTATCCAAGTGGGTTCCCTAATAAGGGGAACAGGGACTATTTCTGACATGAATTCAGTGGCTGGCTCTTTGACCTCCCTCCCCTTGCTAGGCCACAAAGGACGACATTGCAGCCAGTCCTGAAGATAAGCTAGGGTCAGATGGAAGGGGAGGAGGACCTCCCCTGTCAGGGGAGGACTTGGAAAGGGGCAGGGAGGAGATGAAGGAGGGAGGGTGGGATTGGGAGGGAATGAGGAAGGGGGCTACGGCTGGGATACAAAGTAAATAACCTGTGATTAATATAAAAAATAAAAATTATTTTAAAAAAAGATGATGGTGTTTCAATCAGGGTGGGTCACTCAGTAACTGGGGCAGAGACACTGATTAATGCATGGTATGAGCAAATCTTTGCAGTATTCAGTCACTGGGGTTTTGAGATAACCCATTAGAGCCTATCCTGACTAGTACAATTCCTGTGTTCTCTGTGTCCTTTGAAATGTTTTAACTTCACATGTTATTTATTTCACAGCAGAAAAGCTACAAAGGACATTGTAACCGAAAAGCAACAATATGAATGTAAGAAAATTGGTTAAAATTACTATTCAGTTTTAATTTTGGTATTCTAGTACCTTTTGGGCTTTCTTTTGAGTCACGTATACATAAGGGAAAAGAGTATCTTAATTCAGGGATCTAAATTTAAACTCCAAGAAATGACAGTGACTTAGACCTATACAGGTTGAAGAAAGGACATAATAAAGAGCAGAAATCAATGAAAAAAAAAAAAAACCACAAAAAACAAAACCAGCAACAGGGCTAGGCATGATGACCCACGCCCATAATCTCAGCACTCAGGAGGTGGAGCCAGGAAGACTACACAGCCTGAGCTGCAGGAAACAGACAACCAAACTGAACAATTAATGAGGCAAACTGGTTGATTTGGTGGGAGGGTGGCACTAACAGAGAAACTGAACAATGTAAGGAAGCTATTACAATATTAGGAAAAATGGACCTTACTGAAGCTTCTATAACCATTACAAAGATAATTAAGGACTAATTTGAACTATTTTTTTCAATAATTTAAACATCTGTGATAAAATAGATTATGGATACTACCAGAACTCATTTACAAAAGAATACTAAATATCTCATTAAGAAAACCAATCTCTGGCTGGAGAGACAGCTCAGCAGATAAGAGCACTTGCTGATCCTGAAGAGGTCCTGGATTTATTTCCCAACACACACAGTGGCTTATGGACATCTGTAACTCTAGTTCCAAGGGATCCAATGCCCTCTTCCAGCCTCAGCAGGCACATGTGTGGTACACATAAATAATACAGGCAAAAACTCATACACATAAAAAATTTTAATCTTGACTGATTCTGCCAAACATTTAAGAATAAAGTACTGACTCAGAGGCCCAACCACTGCCATGTAACCCAGGTGGGCAGAGGACACCAGAGAAGGCACCACTACAAGTGTGGTAGAGCGATGGGAAAGCAAGAGAAGCTGAATGATTTGTGCACTATGAAGAGAGTCAAGGGTGATGAGGAACAGCCTGATGTGATGAATAATAGCCTGCCCTACCAGCTGAGGTGGGGCCAGCTCTCCTGAGGGCAGTGCTGGAGACCTGGCTCTGGTCACATGGGTGTGGGAGAGCTGGCCAGGTGGCATAAGTGAAGGAGACCTGGTCTGGGTGACCCAAACCCGAGAGCTGGCCTGGCCCTTTGCCTGGGCAAAACAGAAGAGCTAACCAATTCAGCTACCTCCTAGGCTCATATCTAGGGCTCCGAGTTAGCCCACCCCAACATCTACCCCATCTACAAAATGCTGGAGCACATGAAGGGGCTGGTCCTCCAGAACCAAAGCTGTACGATCTCCATGACACGGGGCAACAACAGAAGTCCTAGTGAGGAGCCAGTGTTGATAGTGCAGCAGAAGCCAGGGGCTTGGAACAAGACCAGTGACTCGCTGCAATGAATATTTTCAAATAAAGCTGTTCGGGCACAGGGGTATACTATGTGATACACTGCAGCTTTGGTAAGGCTTTTTGTTTTTTGTTTTTTATTTTTCTTGTAGAGGGAGATTGCAAAGGCAGAGGGTGGATACGGAGTGACAGGGAGATGAATGGGATTGGGTGCATGATGTGAAATCCACAATGAATCAATAAAAAGTTTTAAAAAAAAGTACTAAACTTAGCCCAGACCTTACTTAATTCATGTCACAAGACCAGAACTGTACTAACATCAAAGCCAGAGGTAGTTCAAGAAAAGTATGCCATGAAACAACATACCTGATGAACACAGAAGCAAAAACCTTTAAGAAAATACTAGTCTATGAACACAAAAATCCTACCACAATCAGTGCAAACTTAGTTTTAGAAAATCTAGTAATTCACTATGTTATCAGAGGGAAAGGGAAAATCTCAAGATCAACTGAGTAAATGCAGAAGGTGTTTCATAAAACCCAAAAAAATACAAGCTCACAAGCAACAGACAGGAACTTTCCTAACCAGACAAGCAAGATCTGAGATACACGTAACTTCATGCTTAGCGATCAAAGAGATCTGTCTGGGAACCCACTCTCCACACCTACTCAGTGTTTCACTAGGGATCCTCACCCATGTGATATGCAAGAACAGGAAATCAGAGGACTATTTGTTAAAAATAATTAAAACTATCTTTATTCACGGGTGACATGGCCATGTACTAAGGGAATTATTTTTTGTAATATTCTGTTTTTTTTATAGTTTATTTTTATTTTATGGATGTTGGTGTTTTGCCTGCAGGTATGTCTGTATGAGGGTGGCAGATCCCCTGGAACAGGAGGTACAGGCAGTTTTTAAACTGGCCTTATGGGAGCTGGAAATTGAACCCCGGTTCTCTGGAAAAGCAGCCAGCGCTCTTAAATGCTGAGCTATCTCTCCAGCCCCATGCTTAGGGACTTCTAAGGAAGCTAAAATAAAACAGACCAATAACAGCCATTTTTATATGTACTACAACAAAATATTGGAAAGGAAATAAATGTACAATAGCAGGAAAAAATAAGAAAAATTTAAGGATACAACAGACAAAGCACATATAAGCACAATATTCTGAAAACAGAAAATCACTGTGGAAGAGAAGTCCTAAAACAGCAAAAAGAGAAAGGGACTAAAGACTCAAAAGCTTATCTTGTAGAAACTGACAAACTGATTTATGGTTTATCTAGAAAGACACATGTCCCGAGAGAATGAAAATGATTTGTATGAACAATTTTGTCTAACATTTTATATAACCTAGGTTGAGACTAGCTGTAAAGATACAGAAATAAAAACAGCATTGTATTATCATAAGGACTTTCCTGTGAGTCAATGGTATAGAGAAGCTTTCAGAAATAGACCCAAAAAGTTACGGTCAGTTAATTTTCAGAGGAAGTGCATGGTGGTTCATTAAGTGCTGAGAAAGTATCTTCTGAAGTCTAGTCTTTTCTATAAAGAAAGCAAGCCTTATTTGTGACCCTAAAGAACCAAGTTACTGGTTCTTCTTAAATAGGAAAACACTGAGAAAGATACATTTTGCTACATCTCCTGTACTGAC